TTAGAACTGGTAAGCCAGATTGAAGTCAACAGCATCCACCGACAACCCTTGGGTTACTCGAGTCTGATCAAATAGTGGGATTGGATTGCATGCATAAGGTTATCAAATATAGTAAACAAAAAACACCTAAAAGCTACTGAAGAGTTTGTTTGTTTGAAGTTATGCACAATGGGCTATCTGTGCTCTGCCCACTACGGGTATCGAAACCCGGTTTCTAGCGTTGTAAGTCCGCAGACATACCGCTGTGTCACTTGGGGGGGGGCGTTACTGAAGAGTAGAATACACTTAAAAGTGATAATGGTGGGAACTTATAATGCTAGAACTTGGGGTTCGAGACTTGTGACAGGCACAGCGCGGATAGCCCAGGCATTGTTTATGTTTGTGCTTATGAATAATCAGATATATTTATAATTCAGTTAAAGTCCCTTGATTCGAATGTGACTTTCCTATTTATAAGTGTTTGCTGAAATTTGGTGATTTTAAATTTAATTTTAATATTGAAGCGTCTTTCGTTTATTTGTTGCTAAGCGCAAAGCTAGACAATGGTCTATCAGCGCTCAACGCTGGAATCGAAACCTAATTTTTAGCATCGTAAACCGTCAAACTTACCGCTTAATTACCAGGGGCTGAATTGTCGTGGTCCTGAATGTAACTAATATTTAAAGGTTAGTTTAAGTTTCGTGATTTTGAATTTAACTTTGGTATTTAAAAGTTAGTCGAAGGTTTGGTTGCAGTTTTGAATACAACTTCAATATTGAAGTGTCGTGGCCCTGAATGTTGTAACTAATATTTCAAAGTTAGTTGACGTTTCGTGGTTCTGAGTGTAAGTTTGCCTCTGGGTGTTGTAGTGGAAAGGTGTGTAAAAAAAAACACGCGATGTTTGAAATAATGAGCGCTATACTAAGAGCCTCTGAATATTGAAACACTGCGATAATCTGGGTGGTCATGTAGGCTCATTAACGCTGTCTGATACTTGTTCTGTAGCCTCCTGACTACCTGCTGTTGAACACGTGGAACCTAATCTAATGAAACTCTCGAACAGCAGAGTGTGCTTGAAAACTGTGATATTCTTGTTGAGCACGTGCGTAGAAAATTACGAGTGTGTGTCACAATTAACGACGATTTGAACAAGTGACATTCAACCTTAACTTCAGTTCTGTTGCTAGGACAAGTTACCGGAGGGGGGGGTATATATTAACATGCAAATTTTGGTTGATTAATAAAAGTCGGCTTGTTCTGCCCAAACATTAAAAACATAAGAATAGATAAACAAATCACCATTTTTTATAGAAAATCATCGAACACCAATTTGGATTTTATGCAGATTGACAAGAAAGGGTCCGATTGTTCATTTAATTCTTGGAAATTATCCAGTCAACAGTATTTTAAGTAACAACATTTTATCCTGTACTTGTTTGTTTGTAATTAAGCACAAAGCTACACAATGGACTATCTGTGCTTTGCCCACCACGGGTATCGAAACCCGGATTCTAGCGTTGTAAGTCTGCAGACATGCCGCTGTGCCACTGGGGGAAGGGGTTTTTCAAATAAGGGTTCGGATAAATTTCAGTGAAAAAAAAACAACAGAAAGTCAAGTTTGTTTTTTGAATTTCGCACAAAGCTACACGAGAACTATCTGCGTTAGTCTTCCTAATTTAGTGGTGAAAGACTAGATGGAGGGGGGGCTTATCCTGTACTTGCTACCAATCAACAAAGCGGATAGTAAGTAAATGCTGAAGACCTGTAAACTTATATAAACAAACATCGTGACCTGCTGGTCTTGAAACTAAGCTTTGATTGCAGATCTTTCGCGGTCGCAGTTACGCTTAAAGTGATTAAAATTATGAACAAACCAGATTTTAAAGCAGGAAACTCCAGACCAATTAACGGGTGTTATAAAAATGGCGTCATTGTATTATGACTAATCAAAACCCATCAGTGACTCCGATTTATGTTTGAAATAAGTTGCTATGGTGATGGCCACGGGAGTGTGTCGAGTGGCAGTGTTTTTAATGTCACTCTCACTGTTACTAGTTTTTCTATTATTCCTATTTTTTATCAGAAAATGGAACACTTGCGGTTCATTAAGCGTTATTTTTCAATAATGTTAGGCCGAATATTTATAAGGGAACGAATGAGAATGTATTAACGCAGGAAATTTAGGCCCATGTATGGGTATGACTATAGACAAGTACCTTTAATAAAGAAAAACTAGTCTCTATTTACACGAATATAATGTAGTAGGCTCTATGAGAAACAAATATGTAGATTGATAAACGAAAATTGTAATAAAATAAAATAAAAATAAACAACAGGAATACTTAATAGCTATCTCTTAAATAGACATTTTGAAGAATTTTTATTGTATTCCCAAGCTGGACAGATAGAACATTTCAAACACAGAATGAATAGCGATGATAATAATTATTTTCTGCGCCCCACCATCCCTAACATATCCCATTTGACGAATAAGCAACGTTTTTAACAGAGTAGGTAACGTCGTTAAAAATGTTTGTTAGTTGATTCTACATAAGCGATTAAAAGCTTCACATTTATTATTGTTGTTGGTATAATTGAAGATAGCTTTGATGTACGGAAACATGTGTTAGCTGAGTTCTTGCACATATCTTAAAATATAACGCTGATAAACGGAAACATCGGCACATGCAGACACGATGTTTCTATTTACCAACATTATATTTTAAGACCTGTGCAAGAACTCAGCTAACACATGTTTTCGCATATAAAAGCTACCTTCAAGTTTTGTACATCAAAAAAAACTTTTCAATTATTGGCATATATATATATATATACTAGTAACAGTCCCGGATCAGCGCTTCTTAAATGGAGGGAGAGGGGACAATTAGAAATATAATGGAGACAAATCTAAATCTTTTTTTGGGGAGCAACGATGTTTCAGGGGGCCACCTGATAGCGCCAGCCCTAACGACGAGTATTTAGCTAACTAATTACAATTATAGATACTAGTAACGGTTTATACGTTTAACTTCGAAAATAATTCTCTGATTGTTTCCAAGACGTCGAAGAGCACTATCTGACACGAAAAAAGATGATAAAGTGACCGATAAACTAATTGGTTTTGTTTGTTTGTGTGGCCTGTCGTGGCCAGGTGGTTAGTGCGCTTGACTCGCAGTCTGAAGGTCGTGGGTTCGAATCCCCGACCCACCAAACATGCTCGCCATTTCAGCCGTGGGGGCGTTTTAATGTGACGATCAATCACACTATTCATTGGTAAAAGAGTGGATGGTGATGACTAGCTTTCTTCCCTCTAGTCTTTTTACTGCTAAATTAGGAACGGCTATCGCGGATAGCCCTCGTGTAGCTTTGCGCGAAATTCAAAACAAACAAACTTACTTTTTTTTGTACAATTCTTGCCACTTTTCACTGGATAAATATCCACTTTACAAACATATATTTGAAATACTATAGACAGTCAGTTCAAACGCATATCTTATGAGTATTTTGAGCAATGGTTGATGCGTTTTATTAGCTTAAGGAAAATGTATAAATTAGAGAGTGACGTTACACTACACTACCAAGTGTGTAAAAGCATACTTCAATTTATTGAAATGTCAGCGTTACACAGTAATATTAGTTTAGTAAGGTACATTTGTTGAATGGGTACTGTACAAGGCTACAGAGTGAATATTAGTGGAATGAAATGATGCGTCTTGAATTTGTACTTTACGGAGCAACAGGTTGAACATTAGTGGACTGAAGTGATGCGATCTGGAGTTGCACTTTACGGAGCTACAGGATAAAGATTAATGTAGTAAAGTGATACATTCTGAAGTAGTGCTGTATAGAGCTACAGGTTGAACATTAGTGGAGAAAAGTGATACATTCTGAGGTAGTGCTATATAGAGCTACAGTTTGAACATTGTGGAATAAAGTGATACATTCTGAGGTAGTGCTGTATAGAGCTACAGGTTGAACATTGTGGAGTAAAGTGATACATTCTGAGGTAGTGCTGTATAGAGCTACAGGTTGAACATTGTGGAGTAAAGTGATACATTCTGAGGTAGTGCTATATAGAGCTACAGGTTGAACACTGTGGAGTAAAGTGATACATTCTGAGGTACTGCTGTATAGAACTACAGGTTGAACATTAGTGGAGAAAAGTGATACATTCTGAGGTAGTGCTGTATAGAGCTACAGATTGAACATTGTGGAGAAAAGTGATACATTCTGAGGTACTGCTGTATAGAACTACAGGTTGAACATTAGTGGAAAAAAGTGATACATTCTGAAGTAGTGCTGTATAGAGCTACAGGTTGAACATTAGTGGAGAAAAGTGATACATTCTGAGGTAGTGCTATATAGAGCTACAGGTTGAACATTGTGGAATAAAGTGATACATTCTGAGGTAGTGCTGTATAGAGCTACAGGTTGAACATTAGTGGAGTAAAGTGACATGTGGTGATGCCCTGAACCACAGTGTGAATTGGAATATGTATGTGCATCGGAAATAATAAGAAAAATATTTCATTAGAATAGAATTGTTGGGTTAAGATAATTTTGAATTGTAGATGTGGAAGCGCCAATGCTTCGAGTGGCTTGCATAAAAGGCATAAGATCAAAATAATTTTTATTTTTTGGCCAATTTAATTTTCTACACTATTCCAAATATTAATATTTTCTCTATAAATTTATTTGTTTTAATAGCAATAAAATATCCGATGTACTTGTGTTTGTAAATATTCGTTATCTTCTGTGACTCAGTTACGTCAAGTTAGAATGTCAGTACTTGGCGGTATTAACATATTCCCAATATAAACAGCTCAGAAAGTATATACTGTGCAAGGCCATCTAAGAAACATCCTGCTTAAATGGAGCATTTGGGAAATCACAATTTAATGGAGTAAACATTTATCACATTTTACATTCGAATTTATGAACTTTTGGGACGCCCCCTATCCACCCACGCTTGAAGTAGGCAGTGCACGCATAAACCTCGCACCGACAGTCTCATCGCACAATTTGTATCAGATCGTAGAACAGCATGGGTCGCTGTTGCTCCGTAGAAGAATTGCTCGTCTGTTTCTGAAGTGTGAAATACCGCGTTCTTCACCTTGGGATGGTAAGTTGTATTGTTCATGCATTTAATCCATCTTGTTGTTCAGAGTTTTAGTGACAATAGAGACGGATCTACTTAATAACGTAATAAATAACTCGGGCACTGAATCGTCGGAGTTAACGGGAAAAACGCTGATGTGCGTCAACCCCAGCACTGATGCATGCCTGCGCTTTTCAATCGTCAGAAATCCAGTCTGTTTCGAGTCGCTCGCTACGCGTTCTCAAAGCGTGGTATCGCGTAGGGTTAGGGTTATCTTATCAACAGTTGCAAATGAAATACGATCTGTTCAATAGATAGCTACTCGCCTTTTTCAGTATAGTCATATACATCTCAAATATCAGGTATTCCATTTCACGGCTTGTTTTACACCTTGCACTTTTGATCATATCGCTATTAATGTTTACATCACGATTTCTTATTAGCTGCTGTGTGCTCAGTCCCACTGCTAGTTTTAACAGTCTGCAGGGACATTAGTTTTGACAGGGTATATAACATCCTTAACGAAACAAAATACTTTAAGAGTTAATTAACGTGTTTATGTAATTAACTTTATATCGTTAGTGTGTAGGAAATGAACAGACACCTTTGTCTGCTATAGCTTAATTAAATGAAAAAATAAAAAACTTTCTACTTGCGACCATTTTTTGTGTAGACTTATCATCTGAAACGTTAACGTTATTGTCAAACCAGGATTTCTGCTATTTCAGTAAAGTGCGTATATATAGATTCACGAAACACACTATTGATTTTATAAAAAAAACTCAGTGTTACCTAATGGGTTACTTCAGCCGTCAACGTTTCGGATTTTTTTTTGTTCTCTTGTTTGTGCGTGAGGTCACGTAAAAGACGCACTTTAGTGTGGTTTTCTTATTAATTCACGGTTCAAAATCTCTTCGTTTTTCACGGTTATCTTGTTTGTGCGTGAGGTCACGTAAAAGACGCACTTTAGTGTGGTTTTCTTATTAATTCACGGTTCAAAATCTCTTCGTTTTTTACGGTTATTTTGAGGCTGAACTTAATGTGTACGTTAATAAGTGAATTCGCGTACTAAAGTCTCGGTAAAAGTTATTAACAACTTTGTGGAACATTCTTAAGACCTTTGACTTACTTAACAGGTGAAGTAGATTTTAACTTTCGCATTGCAACGGGCCGGGCGTGGCTCAGTGGTAAGCATTCCAGACTGTGGATCTGAGGTTCCGTTGTTCGCGCTCTGCCAAAAAATAAAAATTTGCGCTAAGCAATTTAAAGCCGTGGGTGCGTTATATGAATGACGGTCGAATCCCACCTTTCGGTCTGACGAGAGTATCCCAACAGTTGGCGGGTGTGGTGTTGACTAGCTGCCTTCCTTCTAGCACGAATAATTCTCGAAGAGCTTTCGCGAATATTTACAAACAAATAAACACATTATTCTATCAAACCTGTCACCATGATCTATAGCAAACAAACAAACACATTATTCTATCAAACCTGTCACCATGATCTATAGCAAACAAACAGACACATTATTCTATCAAACCTGTCACCATGATCTATCGCAAACAAACAAAGACATTATACTATCAAACCTGTCACCATGATCTATAGCAAACAAACAGACACATTATTCTATCAAACCTGTCACCATGATCTACAGCAAACAAACAAACACATTATTCTATCAAACCTGTCACCATGATCTATAGCAAACAAACAAACACGTTATTCTATCAAACCTGTCACCATGATCTATTGCAAACAAACAAAGACATTATACTATCAAACCTGTCGGGTATACGCGTGCTCCACACATGGTCTTGATGGCGCACAAAAATATAGCTAATAAAAAAGGTGGGAAAAAAAGGTTTCACAGATCAATTTACTCTAATCCTGCCTAAAATAATTTCAAGTACCGCGGCTGTTGAGGATTCCCTCTTGTTTCTTATACTTAGCTATAAATAAAGAGTAAACTTAGTTCTAGTTATTAATCTAGATTTAAATATCGTTGTTTTTTAATCTATAGCTACGTATAAGCAATGAAGTTGAATATGTAGGTGTGCGCGTATAATCTTTTAACCATAGTTTATCTGGTTCCTTAGGTTTAGCCCTAGCAAACACACACAAAAAAATATTAGGCATACACCCACATTAGTGTTAGACTGTAGCTATACATAGACATCAAATCTAGGTCCACGTAATTTCTCATTTACAGCCAGACTGCAACTAAATATAAACACCAAACCTGTGTTCATGTAGTTGACATTCAGTTAGGTACAACCTAGGTTTTTGTAGTTCTATACCTTTAGCTAAATATAAACAATAAACATAGGTTTATGTTGTTGATGATTTTCTGTTTGTGTTTTTTAGTTACTCAGGGATACTAAAGATATCGTACATTTCTACGGTCAGGCCCCGAAAAAAGTACTGTTTATAAAAAAAGTTTTGTTTGTTTTTGGAATTTCGCGCAAAGCTACACGAGGGCTATCTGCGCTAGCCGTCCCTAATTTAACAGTGTAAGACTAGAGGGAAGGCAGCTAGTCATCACCACCCACCGCCAACTCTTGGGCTACGCTTTTACCAACGAATAGTGGGATTGACCGTCACATTATAACGCCCCCACGGCTGAAAGGGCGAGCATGTTTGGTGGGATGCGGATTCGAACCCGCGAATAAAAAAAAGTAGTTAGTAGTTAATATTTTAGTTGAGTCTTGAAAACATTATCCACAACACAAAAATTGGCGCCAAATTAATGGTCGGGTCACGACTCACCCCCCACCCCCCTCACCCACAGTGGCACAGCAGTATGTCTGCGAACTTATACCGCTAGAAACCGGGTTTCGATACCCGTGGTGGGAAGAGCAGAGATAGCACTTTGTGTAGCTTTGTGCTTAACTACAAACAAGCATTAACACACGACTCACATTAGGCCTAAAGCCAGCTATATTTGTGGTGTGAGAAGAATATGGTAGCCAGGAAGTCTGAGTGTTAAAAAAAGCAATTTATTAAAAACTACGGGGTTAAACCTTTTAGTTTAGATGATAGAGCTCTTGCCTGGAATCTAGTGGTACTGGGTTCAAACCCGGACATGCACAAGACTGGATTACCACTGAACAGTTTTGACACCCAATCTAGGGATCGGTTGGCCTCGACATTGAAAATAGGATGAGGAAGGGACTTCTTTATGAAAGGAGAAATATGTTATCCAGGTAGTTCAAAACAGTTAAAAAGTGCTTTGCTAGAAGAAGGCCCAGGGGTTATGATCTCGAGAGAGTCAAAAGTTGGATTACCATAATGTTATTCAATTAGATATCATGTAGATTTTATTAAATTGTTGATGTTTAGCCAGGTGTAAAGAATGAACCTCAGTTTACATATTTTTATCAACGAGATGTGAAGAACTATAAACCTGGACAATGCTTTTGTTTTCCCACTGTCTTTGTTCTATGTGAACACTTAATTTTCTGTCTGTTCATTTTTGTAAGCTATTTTCATAAAATTTATTTTGCCACGCCACGCCTATTAGAAGTTTCAAATATTAATGGAGGATCGCGAGGATCGATGTTAACTTAATTTAAAAAAAACAACTTAGAATGTGATTAATTCAACCTCTTATTGTCACAAGAGTCATATATGGCACATACAGCCTTTACTCATAGTTACACACGAGTCATATATGGCACATACAGCCTTTACTCATAGTTACACACGTAAACTGGAGACATCTGGCACACACCGGGGAGTTGAAGTTTTTTTTTTTATTCTCTCTATATATATTTTGCATTCAAAACACCAAATAAATACTTTCTGAATGACTTTTAATTCTTTCTATCATCAGATTGATCTTGGTCTATAAGAAGTTAAATCACGTTACATCACATACGTGCACTCGGATTATTATTTTTTCTTTATAAAATGTAAACTAAAAGGCTTCCAGAATTTGTGAATTAAATTAGTCCGAAGAGTTTGCAGACCACTTTATTTTGTTAATATCTTCTTATTCGTAAATTATGTCGGTCAGTGGTGGTGGTGGTGGTGGTAATGGTGAGGGTGGAGAGCTTCATTATCCATTAAGTTGAAGTCACAGTCAAATGTACCAATACGTGGCAGTACAAGTGTCGGCCATAGTGTGTGTGTGGTCTCTAAGTGGCAATAATGGTACCATTCTGTAGTATGCAGAGGTTAGCATGACCACTACTGCTTATCATTGCCCACACCACACTTCCACCACCATGTTGTTCATGATCTATGATGGTGATGGTTGGATCTAGATCTAGATTCTCTCCAGATGAGTAAACGCCTCTTCTCTGGATAAAGTGCGACTACATGTAATAAGTAAAATGCACCACTCTCTGTAATAAATATAATGTACCACTCGTTGTAATAAGGATAATGTACCACTCGCTGTTATAAGGATAATGTACCACTCGCTGTAATAAGTAAAATGCACCACTCTCTGTAATAAATATAATGTACCACTCGTTGTAATAAGGATAATGTACCACTCGCTGTAATAAGGATAATGTACCACTCGCTGTAATAAGTAAAATGCACCACTCTCTGTAATAAATATAATGTACCACTCGTTGTAATAAGGATAATGCTCCCTCGATGTAATAAGCACACTGCTCCAATTTCTGTAATAAGTGTAATGCTCCACTATCTGTAATAAATATAACGTACCACTCGCTGTAATAAGTAAAATGGCCCACTCGCTGTAATAAGTATAATGCTCCACTCGCTGGAATAAGTATAATGTACCATACGCTGTAATAAGTATAATGTACCACTCGCTGTAATAAGTAAAATACTCCACTCTCTGTAATAAATATAACGTACCACTCGCTGTAATAAGTATAATGCTCCACTCGCTGGAATAAGTATAATGTACCACTCGCTGGAATAAGTATAATGTACCATACGCTGTAATAAGTATAATGTACCACTCGCTGTAATAAGTAAAATACTCCACTCTCTGTAATAAGTATAATGTACCACTCGCTGTAATAAGTATAATGCACCACTCGCTG